CGTGAAAACATTCTTTTCCACCCTAGTGTCCAACTCTGCACATACATAATTCTGCACAGTGAAGCTCAAACATCAGGGGGACTTTAAAGGTTGGATTGCAGCTGTGTGGGACAAAAAAGGGAAATTATGAAAAGGGAGAGATAAAGTAAAGACAGTTTTTACCTCAGTGTCACTTGATATCATGTTCAGCAACTCTACCCTGCAGCCATTCCAGTACCAGACCCTCAGGCACAAAAAAAATCTGTACTGTGTACATCGTCACAGACAGATTTATGTCTGTAGAAGTTTCCACTCGGCTAGTTTTCCTCTGCCTGTGGGTACAAAGAGTGTTGCCTCTATCATACCAGCAAATGACGAGGTGGATCACTCTGAGTTCAGAGCCTAATAAGACAGAGGTCATCACGGGGAAACAGACAGGTCACAGTCTTGTGGTTGTTTGAGATCAGGGTCATGTGAGACTCATGCAGCTAAAGGGTAACAGCCTGAAGGAAGTTCTAATAATAGATGACTTCTGTTGTTTCACATATTTGCACTATATGAAAAGAGAGAGAGGCAGCATACAGTAATGACAGTGATGAACAGTAACTCAGCGTATGTACTTAGTGCTGTACTTGATTTTGAGGCTGTTGATAGCTATAGTTACTTATGATCTAAGATTTTACACACCATATGATGAGCTTAGAAATTCAGCTCATGCTTTTCTCACCAATTACTGTGCAAGATTCCAAGCTCAGCTCTAACAAGATTTACCCTTGTTACACTGTAGTGTGACAGATACAAAGTTGTAGAGGGCACTGTACATCACACCACACTGGGGCTGTCTCACACCAGCACGGTACTGGTGAGAGAATTTTAGTTGGTAGTCTCACTAGATAAATCTGAGGTGACACAATAATTGACAAGATCCAAACCAAGAACAGAAAGCACATATCTGCTACAAAAATCGGACTTTTCTCTAGATGTTGCTTATTATTGTGAAATACTTGATAGTTTTACCTCCTAAGACCTCTGAAAACTACTCAAATGAAACAATCTGAGAAGGGAACATCACTGATTAGGCAGGTGGTTATTCATAGATATATTCAACTTGTTGCAGGTCACACTTTATAGGTTCATAAGCCAACATATATGGCAAAAACATGACATCTTTCCAGGCATCTACAGCCATATAGCAAGATTTGATCTTTGAGTCGAAACTGATTTTAATGAATAATTCTTCGGTATAAAACCGCTGAAGTAATTCTCAAGCATTGGGAGCCCATTCGCTGCCCTTCTAGATAACACCAAGGTTGAAACAAATCACTCAAGCTGGCTTTTTTTGACGTACTGTCTGGCACTTTCTGTGTTTTCACTTGGCAACCCTCTTTGCTGGTGCGTATTATAATTTATAATTTATTTTGCTTTGCTTTGATGTTTGAAAAGTTTTCTAAATCAATTTAAAATAACTACCTGACTGTATCCACCTAAACCTGCTACAACATTAAACTGCTGCATTATTAATCAGTAAAAAGGAGAACAATTCATAATATGTAATATAATAATATATATTTTATAATGTATTAAAACATTCTGAAAGGGGACATTTTCTATAATCACTACTTTTATGTAAACTTCAGTACTTTTTGCCGATCATATTTTTTTTTTTTTCAACTTTCACTTAAGTAAAGTTACAGAATACATCTTCTACCACTGAATAATGAAAGAAAATACTGTATCTGGCTTAAACTTCACTGTGTTTTTATCTCTTAAACCCTTTTTCTCTTTAAATTTGACAATACATATTATTTACAAGTAGAGTTGACTAAGCATGCAGGTGCTATATTTAATCTGGCCCATTTTTTTCTGCGGATGCCTCCCTGTTTTTGTTGATGAAAGAAAGATCCTGCGGATGGCAGATGTCAGGTGGGGCTCATTTTACAGTCAGTTTCATGTTTACATGGGCCAACAGGCCAACAGCAGCTGATCTAAATACGACCATTGAACCAGGGTGTTTATCACCAGGCCACCACAGTTACATGAAGGAGTGGAAAGAATCCAACAGTGCCCTTCTCCTTATCTCATACAAACAAAAGGCTGATAAACTCTCCATAGCAACAGGAACAACTGCTGCAGCACAGCGAGAGGAACATCATGTCCAATATCTGCTACTTCTTAACAACATCTCACATAATCTCTGTTGTGCATAAGGTGTGCCATGTGTACTAATAAAAATGGAACAAATGGAGGAAAGTTCAAGTTAATTGACAACATAAAAGTGATTCCCAGCCACTGGTGATACTTCTGCAGGTGCCAACGGACGTGGAAAGATTGTTAAGTAGCTCAACTATATAAAAATAGAAACTAAGATTTGAATAAAAAGATATATGAATCAGCTGTAATGCCTAAACAGGTGTAGCCATTGAAAGTAGGCTACATTACACACAGAAACCTTGACACAGTTAGCTAGAAGTATTGGGTAAATGGTTCAAATATGCTAAAAGTAATAAATAAACAGCTGCTGTATTTAGCTAAAAGTAATGGATATTGGTAGACATAGATACCTAAAAGTAATAGATCAATGTTTGATATAGTTAGCTATAAGAATTGGGTAAATATAGCTAAAAGTAAAACAGCTATAGTAAGCTAAATGTAATAAATATTGGTTGACAGATACAGTAATGTACAACAGTTGACATAGGCTAGTAATGGATAGGCCTAAAAGTAACTTGTAAGTAAAAGTAGGCTAAAATGTTTGAAATAGTTTACTAAAAGTGGATACTGTCTGTTAGACAGAGATAAATTGATTATTTATCTATGTCCACCAGTATACATTACTATTAGCTAACTAGTTAGCTACAAATAATTGATAACTAAAAGTCACAAAACCTTGGCACAATATCCACTTTAATATAATAACACCCAGTTTAAAATCAATTCAAGTGAACAGATTTGGAATAGGTTGTGTCGATGAAGGGACTGTGGGGGTGAACTGGACAAAAAAAGGTTGGAAATTTCTAAAACACAACAAAGAATATATGTACACTGATGAATGAAGCTCTACTCTGTTGAATCCCCTAGTGACCTATGTCCTGGTGCCCTCGATGTCTGGCATCACAGCTACCAACATCATGTGTGAAAGTGGCCTGTCAACGCACTGGCTGCCAACAGAGACCCTGCAGCTACGCCAAGTATTTTCATGAAGAGCTAGTTGTGATTTCACAAGTATGGAAGTTGCTTTGTCACTGGCGTGTTTTAAAGCCTGTGTGTGCTACAAGTGAAGGACTTTGAGCATTGTTATAGTTTTTTTTTTTTCAAGTAAAGAAAACTACTTTATAATTATAATGATTGGGTAATGGTGCTCAAAGCTGGTTTGCTGCTGTTACCCTCTAGTGGTCTGTTTGGTGAAAACATCCACTTCTTGTGTGGATACAAACTCTCAGATGAGCAGAATTTGCTGTATATGATGTGTTTGGACCCATGCGAGGGAAAAGAAAGCAAAATAAAATTTTAAAAAAGCATTTGGATTCAATAATCCTGCTTGCTGCTGTCCTTTTCATAAATTCTGATATCAGAGTTCACAGAGAAGCTCATTAAATGAAAATATAGTCTAGACTCTTCTGTAAAATTACACTTTTGCATTATTGGAATATCATTTTCAAGTTATTACAGTGATCGCTTCATTGTTCCTCCAATTTAATTAAAAGTAAACAGTAAATTTCACACCCATCTTAAAGGCCAATGCTGTCTCATAGTACACATTTATCACTGATTTACACTGATTTATGCTGCACTTGTTTGTTACGTGTCATTTTGATAATATATTCTGTTTAGCATGAGTTGCAGTCCTCACATGAAAGCTCATTTGACCGTTTTCACACTTCCATCCATCTGTGGACAGTGAGGAGTAACTGTACTGACAAAAGAACAACTTTTACAGTTTCACCACTGCCTGCTGACCATACAGACTGAAAAACTGCCAACGGCGTACTAATTTCATGTTTACATTTGCAACTAGTTTGTGAAAAGTAACACCTAAACTGAGTGGGAAAGATGCCGTTAAACTGAAGTTTGTAATTTCCCCTTTGTTTGTGCTTCACTGTGTCAACTACTGATGAGTATATAAGGTGGTTTTCGGACGGTGGGTGAGTTTCTCATCATGCTGATATGACGAGGTAGGAGTAACTTTGAACATTTGGTATGAGAAAAATATACATTTTTGTTATGATAATATCTTTGGAAGATCTCCACTATTATAGGTATTAAGGTTAGTCAGACTTATTTAATATGATTTGTCATGTTAATGATGATTTATTATTCTTTCAGCACTTGTATGGCCTCTACCCCGTGAACTATACATGTCTTGATCAAGGTAAATTTACATTTATTACTGTCTTAATATCACAGATAGTATTACAACAGACAACACTGTTGCCAGTAGGGAAAATTGTATGATAAATGTATCTAATAGTGTTGTCATTGTATGTATAGTGATCCTGAAACAAACCATTAAAAATGCATATATATATATTATAATATATTACACATACATAATGCTAGACAAAGTTATTACAAACATACACATAAATAAATAATAATGCTTTGTTTATAATTATTTAATATATAGACATCCTTGTAAATGTTTAATGTTAATGTTTAATTCATTAACCCACATCTATCATACTATACATTACATCCAAAGCAAAGCAAATATATTTGCATTAACTATTTAATTTAATTTAATTCCTTCATAATAATATTTTTTTCTTTTTTATTGATAATAACACTAATTTTAACTATGATGTTCTAATTAATAAATTAGTATTTTTACAGTAAAAATATGAACTTCTCTGCAGAAATAATTAAAAAAGTATGCCCAGTAATCGTATTTTATAAAGAAAAAATAAACTGTATATTCCTCCAAACTTGCTGATATTAATACAGTAATTCCATGTGATTATTATGCAGTGAGTAAGCGAGAAACCATATAACTGTCATCTTTTTACATAACTACTGTGCAACTGTTGTCCCCAGATGGTTGTCTTAGCTGTGGCTGTGTTTGTAACGTTGTCATCTTGTGCAGTTGGCTGCTCAGGGAGCCCAAATTCTGTGAGTATGAGCTTTGTTCGCAGACGACGTTACGAGGCTACCAGGCAGATGGAACATGAAATTCATACATTATGCAACAAAAGTTTTTCGTTTTCCCAGATGTTGTTTGGACAGAACTGTGCTTAGTTTCTGCCACATTGAACTTATAAAAGGGAATAGAACATTATATTATATTAAACCCAATTACTTACAAAGTCGTGTGACGAATAAAGTTTTGTTTGACACATTTTCTTTTTTTTCCAGACTGAGCTGAAGCTTTGGAGCAGGGAGAATCAGTCTATGGCAGTGCAACTAGCTGCTGTGTTCAAGGTGAAATCATATATTGTAGCTGTTTCTTGATTGGTTGGATAATTGATTAGTCTTTCAACAGACAATTCAACAACTATTTCGATAATCACTTCATTTTTTCAGGTAATTTTCAATAAATTATACCAAAAATTCTGTTCTTCCAGCCTCTAAAATGATTTTCTTTGGCTTATGTGCCCATAAGCTTTATATCTGAGGGTTTTGGCCTGTTGGTTGCCTTGGACTTTGTTTGATTTTTCACTATTTTCTGATAATTTGTACACATAAGGGGGATGCAGCACCGCTAAAATCTGATGTAATGAAAACCATTAGTTCATAAAAATGTTCAAACAAGGTTTTACCCTGTTTTATGTCCATTTTATCTGGAAAAAGTTTGAAATGTCTTCTTAAAAGTTGTTAATAACTATAGTTATTAATAAAGTAGGCTATAAATTATTCAGAATGATTATTCAAATGAATGCAATTTATGCATGCATTTAGCATTTAGCAGACATCATTATATAGACAGACTTCCTCTCAGCACCCCAACTCTGACTGACATCCAGTGTCCCTGTTTGTAGACCAAATGATTATTAGATTAAAAGATTGATGATGATTGATGAAAATAATTGTTCAGAACTGTAGCCAAAATGCTGGAAATACTGCAGTCTGTCTGTTGAGTATATTTTTTTTGTCAATTTCATCTCCCTACATTATGGTATTATTGTTGTTTTAAAGCTTTCCTGACTCTGAGCATATAATTCTGTTTAAGAATAATAAATCAGTCATATTTTCTTTTAGTTTAATTGAATCTTGGGATTTTTGTTTGTTTGTTTTGCCATAAAAACAGTCAAATTTTAAGACATCTAGTCTCCTCTTTTTGCCAATAACCCCCTCAAATTTCCCATAAATATGAAAGTCTTCTGTCTTCTCTGGACTTGACATAAACTGCGACATCTGAATCACTCGTTATTATGTTAATCCTCAAGTATTATCTGCAAGAATTTTCCAGCTTTTTAAATGAGGTTCCAACATTTCAATCATTGCTAAAAATGCACACTTTGCTCTATTGCAGGAGATGGAGAGTCTAAGGTGTGAACAAACAACACTTCAGCAGCAGCAGAATGCTCTGACTCAGGTAGACTCTATGTAATTCCCTTACAATCTGCGTAAATGCTGTATATCAGCCACTGAACGTGTCATTTTCTTCATTCACAGATGCATATAACAAGCCATCAGAAAGGAGCTCAGAAGCAAGTTGGTGAGTCAATAAAACAACAACATTCTTTACATAAAATATGATTTTCAGCATTCACTCTAAACTTTCTATGTGCTGTAGTCTACTGCACTCTGTAGACCTAATATTGGTGGTAACTGGTGGAAAATGTCTCTTGTCAAGCTGGAACAAACATCCTTACTTATGGTTCAATTGATGACGAGGAAGACCTGCCCGAGGAAGACCTGCCTGAGGAAGACTCGAGGAGACGGGGTGACCCCTGCTTCCACTACACAGTCCTGGACCAGGCCTGGCGTGCCACCAACAGCACCTCCAAGTTCAAGATGTGTGACCGCAATGTCAAATGGAAAGGTAGCTATTGATCTGTATGAATGGGTTTACTTTAACAATAATGACAATTATGATTATTTCACTATGCTTTTGTTTTCTACCAAAGGCTGGTACCGCCTCTTCTACAAAGGTAGGAGTATTCAGATGCCTGAGAGGTGTGTCCCTGTGAACAAATGTGGCACCCACTCCCCCCTGTGGCTGGTGGGGCGTCACCCAAAGAGAAGGCAGGGCATCGCCACGCGCAATGTGTGTGGCCACTGGAAGAAGAACTGCTGCGCTTTCCGATCCACCCCCATCCAGGTCAAGAAGTGCCGCGGCAACTACTACGTCTACAAGTTCACCCAGCCGTCATCCTGTTATTTGGCTTACTGTGCAGGTATTGAATGAGGATTGTGTCCTAAACTGAACACTGGAACATTATTGGAAAAGTCAGCCATGAATCCATCTAAATGTTTTAAAAATTAGGATTATTATCTTATTCTATTTTGTAAATGGTGGAATCTTTAAATAATGTGTAACTGTCCTGTCCTAGTGGAGAAAGATTTATAAGTTATTTTTCACTTGATCCTTTACTTTATACTTACTTTTAGATTTGCTTTAGTTTCAAATATGTCTTACTGAAAAGAATTTTTTTTTATATATATATATATAAGAGTATATTGCATATGATAAATAGTAGGACTTGATTCAATATGTTTCTTCACCACTGGAGAAAGTATTCAGATTTTAGACCAGTATTTTTCCTATTTGGGATAAACTAAGGAGATCCCAGGAGATAATTTAAAGTGGTTTAATCTTTCAGTAGTTCAGTGTGTGAATGATGTTAAACTGAACAAGGCAGCGCTTAGAACTAATAAAACCAGGGTGAATCTCCTCAAGGCTCCAACATCTTTAGACATCTGAGATCCCAACTCACTGTCCCAGTCATCCGATATCAGTCTGATATATCTGCACATCTTTTGATAAAATCTAAATCCTCTGTGTCTGACAGTATTAAAGATGAAGGGGAAGTGCCTGAATGAAGCTCTATGTCTCTTCTCAGATATCAACACACTTGTATGTGGGCGCTGCAGAAGAAACCAGTCCTGTGTGAGCCGAGATAAGATTAACTGGAGGTGCAAGACCAAGAGAAGAAGTAAGTTGTATCTTGTCTTGAAAATGTTTAGGGCATAAATAAGAGGGTCAGAGAAGTGTTTCTGTTTGCTGAAGGGAGGGTAGTCTGACTTTAGTCCCTTGTCAAATGTACTGCAAATCATCATGTTATCTGTTTAGTTATGAATGACAATTAGGCATCTGAAGTCACAAATATCAGGCCATAGCATCAATTAGTTTAGATGTTTATTTATTGTTTTATTTTAGTTATTAATTATGGAAATAATTCAGTCAACTCAATACTGTTACATTAATTTAAGATATTTGGGTGTAGTTGGAGTTTTTTTATATTATATTTTTTAAATATTATTGATTCTGGAGATGACCTCGAATCAAAAGCCCCCTCCCAACCCTAATCATGTTCATACAGTCTCTAATGTGCCATGCCTCCCTGGTAAATACAATATATGAATGCAAAATACACCAGTTAAAAATTAGTGGTCACTTTATGAAACATAAAGAACGAAATATGTTAATTTAAATTTTTCTTATGGAAAAATTGGTTTTTGCTTTTGATGAAATGCAAAATGATAAGTTTGATGATTAAAGGTATATTCCAGCTATTAAGTGTTGCACTTCCATAAAGTTGGAGTACTAACAAGAAACAGATAATAGAAAGAATCGCCTAAATTGATGCAGCAGAAGCCGAGATATTCCCTAAAATACTGGACCCTACATTTCCCATAATTCACCTAAAAAGCATGCCGGTCTTTTTCAAATCCCCAGTTTGTATTAATAATAATAATATCTCCATTTTTTTTCAGTGTCTTCCAAAAAGATCCACTTCTTCGCCTCGTATCCCGGCCAACTATCAGGCAAGGTGAACAGAATCAAGTACAGCAAGGTGCTGGTGAACGTGGGCCGAGCCTACAACAGAAGAACCGGCGTGTTCAAGGCTCCGGTCAAAGGAGTCTACCAGTTCTTCTTCTCCACTCAGTCAGCCAACGCTGGTCAGAAGACTGATCTGTGGCTGGTGATCAATAGTTACTGGGTAGCTGTCTCTCACACACACGTCTCCCGTCCCTCCACTGTTGGTAGCTTGTCTATGTACATGACTTTCCTCCGCAGAGGCGCGAAAGTGTTCGTCACCCACAACTCTGGTAGGTCTTGGGCCAATGCTGCTTCCATGACCATCACATTTGGGGGGTCACTGCTTGTACAAATGAAATAAAGTATGTGTAAACACATTTTGACAACGCATTAGGTCTTTATGTATCCTTGAATAGGATGAGACTTGATTTTCAACATGTGGAGAGTGTGTCATGACAAAGTTTACAGTTTCTCTTTGCCATTAATTCAATTATTCAACTAGTTTTTGTGATAAAGGACTGTAAACCGTCAGCTAAATGCTTGAAGTAATGCCTAAATGTCTGATTTAATGCTTACATGTAAATATTAAAACAAAAAAGAAATAGTGTGTTGTTTAGTCAATTAATCAATATTGGCTATGTGCTGCGTGTCATCCCCCTTTCCTCTCACTCTTCAGCTGTCACTATAAATTAAAGACAATAAAAGATATAAAAAAATATAAAAAAAATAAACACACTTAATAAAAAATGCAAATATTTCATCTGGATTTTTTTTATCATTTGATCTCTTTTATCCCAACTGGGCTATTCTTCTAATAAAGATCACTATATTACTTACAAACAGAAACAATAATAATAAATGTACAAGTATTATTTATTTGATCTAGTTTAGGTTTAGTTTAGATTAATTGATTAGCCAGTTAACAGATCTATCTATCTTATAATCACAGCTGTCAGATAAATGTAGCATAAGGTGTAAATATTTATATTATAATGCAGTGTAGTAAAGTAAAGTAGCATAAAATGGGAAGTAAAGTTCAAATACCTCAAAATTGTACAGTACCTGAGTTAGTGTATCTACTTTTTAACCACTGCTGTCTAGTCACAGTATCTACAACATGCTCTTGTCTCTGTTTTACACAAGATGGCGCACTAACCTCAGTGTAAACCATTAACAGTACATATAAAGTGTAAACCTGGAGAACTAGTGGCAGTCTGATCTTGGTGTTTCAACCAGGAGGCCTCATTCAGATTCAACAGATCAAAGGAAGTTACAGGGGTCTGATAGTTCAATAGATGCTAGTTCAAAGGCAGGTTGGTTGAGAATGATCCAGTCTCTGCAGAACCACTCTCAGTCCATTTATTCATTCATATTCCACTGAGTAAATTCTGATGATACCTCATTTTTCCTTTTATGGTAACAGAGGGCATCATAAAAGTCAGGCCAAAAAACATTATGTTTTTTTTCTCCGAGTGTTTTACAACTTAAGAGGTGGCCCCGTCATCGCTGAAATATGTATCAGAAACAGTGGAGCTGTGGTCTAACCCAGAAGTATGTGCTGCTCAGCTCTCACACAGGGCCAGTCTGACCAACACCTCTCCGCAGGGCCGGGGGCGGGGCTTGGGAGAGGCGGCTCCAACCCTATTGGCGGATGGTCGGTCTGGACGACAGGAGAGAAAACTCCAGGAAAAGGGACGCACGGTGTAACGGGACAAGGATACATTTCGGCTTCAAAAGGAAACTTTGTATGGACATGAGGATATTTTGGGATAATTTCCTATTTCTTATAGAAAACCCGGACTTTTAAGGGCAGAAGACGTTAATAGCTATAGGGTATTTTCAACTAGTTTGTTCCCTTTTAATTAAACATGACTGAAATTGCAGTTTGACGAATGAAAATGCGCATCGACCACACAGCTGTCCACTGAGGAGAGGAGGTGCTCGGAGAAGCCCGCCAATGTTCACCTTCTGTCGGCACTTCAAAGCAAGTTGTTAAAAAAGAAAATAAAATAAAAGAATAATTTCCCACGCGCTTCAGTGAGAGAAAGGGAGTATCACCATGGCAGAGCACGAGAGCCTGGAGTTTGGAAAAGCAGATTTTGTGCTTTTGGACAACGTGTCTATGGAAGAATTCATGTCTAACCTAAAACTCAGGTAAGCCCCAGCCCCTGAAGCGGCCATTCACCTTTTGTAAAGCCACTGAATGTCTAATAAGCACGGGGGAATGAAGGTTGAGAGGAAGGCTATGTCACGGAAATGCTGTTAAGTCCCTCTACAGGTGCTACCTGTTGCTCATTGGTGCCACTTATGAATGAACACATCTCTCCAAAAAAAAACCCAACGTGTCGTCTATGTAAATGCTGCCACTGAACCTGTGTTTGACGTGTGAAATAAATAGTAGAGTATGTTTGAGCCACTGTCGGTGGTTTGAGCAGCTCTTGAATGCGGTAACAATATGTGGTTTGTATAAAAGTTGTTGGGACGGAGCTGCTGGCTGCTCTGCATTCATTCGATGCCTTCTTTCGATCAAACCGGTAATTCCCTCTGAAGAATTCCGTGTGAGACTCCACCCTAACTTCACACACACACACCTACACACTCTCACTCACACAGTATTACCGCAGTTTGACGCAGGCCGGTTTTTATCAGCTGTGTTTCAGTGGCTCAGTGTCAAGCATGCTTAGTGAATGGAGAGAGGGTTTCAGATGGGGCTGTGGCTTGGAATCAGTTTCCCCATCGCCTCTTCTCACCTCTGCCGTCTGTAATGAAAGTGCAAACTGATCCCTGATGTCAGCTTTTAGGGGAGTAAGACAGTATCATCATCATTACTTTAGCTTTCTACTGTAAGGAAACTTTGTCTGCAATAAGAGGGAGTTTTCTCTAATAGTAGGCCTTTGACAGCACAATAGGAAGCTATTGTGAGAAGAAATAGAAGAAAAGTAGTGTGACATATCCAATTTAAGCACATAGGCTATATGTATAATTAAAAACAACAAAAGTATGTCCCTGAATCGCAGCTTACATCTCTTATCTAGAAGCCAAAGATCATTCAGGATCATTGAATATCTAGTTAAGATATTGAAGTTTGCTGAAGAATGAAGAATGAGGATGAAAATAGATTGCATGAGCTGTTTTGATTTGTGGAAATTGAGTGCATTTTTTTCTCTGTCTAAAAAACAAAACTCTAAAATATTGTGGTCACAAAAAGGAATTTTGGTTTGTTCAAGTTAGCTAACTTTGTCTTAAAGCCTGGTAGAAGAGGCAGGATGGATTGATTTTTGAGGTCCCAGTTCCGTACAGCCAGTAATGACTGGTAGAATAAATATTTGGAGGATTTTAACGATGCTGGTTTCTCCTGTCGGCTGCATGGTTTCCCTTCTATGGCCAACAAGAGTGAGCTACAGAGCCTACTTATACTTACAAGCAGGAATGTCCTCCACACCGAAATCTCTGTGATTCCTGAAGACAATCATACTATTCATCCGTTTATTATAACCAAGTGTAGTACACGGAACATTTAGGCATCGTCTGCCTGTGTGAACATTTCTAAGAGTTTAGTATTACATTGTAATATGTAAGAACAGAACAAGGAGGGCTGTGTGAGAATACATTACTTTGTTGACCTTAAAGTTGTTGGAGTTGTTTGAATTGCAAGTTATTCCAACTATTATTCTTTGTTTGTGATATTTATGTATTTAATAATAAATAAAAGTCTTTCTAACTATATATTATTCAGGAAGATTGGTCATAAGTGAGGCTTAATTATCAGTTGCTCTAAAGATTGTAAAGATAAATTGGTTAGTGGCAGCTGTCAGCAGGTTTCCTTGCAGTTTTCTATTTAAAGTAGGCAAATGAGTATGTTTGCATGTTCCTCTTGCTTATGCATGAGTTGCTCTTAAGCAAAGTGTAATACAGGATAAATAGCAGGTAATTGCTAGGCAAGCAAAAGTCATAGGAATGGCAGTAAAATGTGCCTTGATGCAGGTAACCAAGGTGAGGAGGGGTTCTTCAAAACTCACTCAGGCTCCAGTTTCAGAAGACTCACAATCACTTTCAGTCAGAACACAAAAGAGACAGCAAATAAAAGTCAGTGGGGCCTAAAGACCAGAGTTTCTGGTAAAGTGACGTCAATGGAGGAAGGACCAGAATGCTCTGGGTGTGCTGTTCCCCACCTCTCTTATCCCCTAAAGATGGGTCGTCGTATCTGAAATGAGTGTAGTATTCCTGTTATTGTGTTATTGTGTTATCTGTTGTTTTTTTTTTACTGTTTTTTCTCTCTTGTACAGTGTTTATATTATATTCTATTCTATTATTTTTTCATACTGTTCTTATACTGTCTTTATACTGTTTTTTTTCTCTATCCACTTTGCTGCTGTAAGATTGGAATTTCCCCATTGTGGGACTATTAAAGGAATATCTTATCTTATCTTATCTTAGT